TCTCCTTTACAAGATTCATCAAAGCATACTAATTTAACATTGTTAGTATGCTCTGAATTTGGGCATTTTATGCTTATATTATCATTTTAATTCATTATTAAATCTTTCTCGATTTCGATTAAAATACTTTTTATATTACAATACTTTTAAAATCTAATTTATATTCAAAATAAATAATTATATTATTCTTTTAACGATTACAATTAGTTTGAATTTTGACTTGATTATTAAAATCATTGAAATAATACAATAGATTTTTATTTAATTATAATTACCTATCGTTTATCAATTCTTAAATTTTCCTCATAATTTTTTTGAACCTTAATATAACCTCTATCGATAATACAATTTATCTAAATTTAAAGTTAATCTTTAGAGCCACAAAACATGAAATAATATAACTTTTATGTTTTTGCATCATTATAAGACAAATTACAAAATGAGTTCTTGGCAAATTTATTATTTTGATATTTATATATTAGTATTTTACATTTTATGTAGAAATTCAAAATAGGTTTTCCCTTAAACTAATTTAAGATAATTAGAATGTAAACCTGGCATCTCATTTCAAGCTTAGATTTGAATTAGGCCATATTGGTAGTAAAATTAATTTTGTCATATTACAATTTTATTTTGATTTTAGCTACTCTATAAAGGAAATATTATAAAATTTATGTATTGAATTTTAAATTAAACTGAAAAATCAATCAGGATAATAAATCGTTAGGTTGATCATAATTTATTTGATTGAAAATTTATTAACATTATAGTATATTGTCTGAATCTCATTGAAATTTCGTTATTAATTGTAATATCGTAAATCATAATCTTTTTCCTTCAAAAGTATTCACAATCTAACTGATATTTGAAAAAAAAAATACATATAATAGAATAATAATATTCAGTTGAATTTGTAATTTAATATTCTAAAGTATAGAATTAGCTCAAAAGTAATCATCTTAGATATTTTATATTTTTTTATAGTATTCATATTCAGAAATCAAAAAAGAGGAAATTTCTAAAGATCGAAGAAATGATTTTTACTTTGAATATTTGCATTAAGGATATTTCTAATTAACCTGAATATTGAACTAAAAAAAATACTGTTTTTTAATAAAATATATTTTAAAATTTTGTAAAAATGAATTTACTTTTTATCTAGGCTTCTACTTTTAGAATTACTAGCATACAAATTATGTTTCTTTTTCTAATCATTCCTAAATGAGTTCTTATTCCTAAATAAGCTCTTATTTTTCTACCAATGCCAAAATTTATCCTATAATTTAAAAGATTAGAGATTATTTTTATAATTTATTAAGCATTTGAATTTTGATAACGAAGTTTAAAATAGGCATAAACATAGATGATGTAAAAGATCTAATTAAATTATAATATATATCTATTACACATTTAGACATTATGAAATTGTATTTATTATAATAATATAGAATTATTAAAATTCATCAAGATTGGTATTATATTGTTTGTTTAACTTCTACAAATTAGATTAAATCGATCTGGATATCCAAATTGTAAATATCTTTACATGTAAAAGGTTTCCATCTAATTTTTCTTCTCAAAATTTTACTGTAACTTTTATCATAAATTTTTCTTTTAAAGATTATTCAATTGTACTTATTCATTCATTCTTTCTATGTATTTGATTATTCAAAAATAGAAATAATATTTAATTTTTGTAGATATGAACTTCAAATAGCTATTTTATTATTTAATNTAAATTTAAATTGAGAAATTCTTCGAATTATTATTAATTAATTATTAGCAAATTCAAAAGATCTTTTATTGTAATACTATGAGCATAGCTGTACCTGGAATTGCATTTAATCAATAGGAATTATTTCAATTTTTAACTTTTTATACTAACAATAATTATTTTTAAATCAGAGATTTTTAGAATAAATTAATTTTAAAAATTCACTAATCCTAAGGCTGCTTTATTCCTCTAAAGGTATATAAGATTTATTTTGAAATTTAGAATTTTTATGAAACTTAATTATTCATAATTTTAATTACACCTACCCACTTAATTAGGTTTAACAAATTAAAAATGGAAAGAATATTTATACTAGAAGTTTTCCGGATTGGATTAATGAATAATTAAATTTCTAATTATTTTACATAAATTTTTATAAAATTTTTTAATAAATATAGGATGGTTTTAGTTTCCTAGGTGGATTAAACTTCTCGAACTAGCCATGCAATTATTGAAAAAAAAAAAATTATCTTTTCGAAAACCAAACAATAAATTATCAGAACTTAATTAAAATGCTGTTCCTCAACCAGACCACATATCACAATAGTTATTAAGTTTTTGTAGATCTTTCAATTTGAAAAAACGACATAATTGTATATTTTTTGAAGGGTTCTAGTCATGTTTGAGAATACAAGAGAATAATTTTAATTTTTAAAGTCCTTACATCCAAATTAATTAGACTTAAATTTTAAGATTGATATTACTTTTTAATAAGGAATCATTTCATCTTTCTTTTAAATATTATCAAATACTAAAAACATGTCTTATGAAAGTTGATGTGAGTAAATTTTCATTTAGCAATAAAATATTCAAAAGCTTTCTAAAAATATAAATCTTACTAATATTATCAAATGGAAATCTTTAACATGAAATAGCAAAATATTAAGAAGGAATATATTTATTATCAATGTCTAATTTGAAAGATTAGGAAGTCTAGTCTATCTTTTTCAAAGAGAACGAAAGAAATCAAATTATTTGAGAAAAAAGGACTGCTAGCTTAAATGGAGCTATTCTTCAATAAAAAAATAATATTCTGATAAAAAAGCTTTTATAATTAATAATAAAAAATACATCTTATATAGAAAACGATCTGCTCTTATTTATCTTGAATTATCACGAATTTGCTTTTCAAATTTTTTTTGAAGAATTGATGTGTATCTGAAAAAGTTAAAGAGATAAAATTTAATAGTAAAAAAAAAAGAATTTTTAATTACTTTAAAAATGAATTTTATCATTAACTTTTATCCACTTTTATAATGATAAGGAAAACACAAATGAATAATGGTCTTGCAATCTTAGATATAAATTTTTAAATTATTAAAATATTAAATTAAATTTAATTATTAGTCTTTACTTTACATTAACTAGAATAAGAATATAAGAACTATTTCAGGGATTAAAGGTGATCAAAGATTCATCAAAATTAGGAACACAATATGCAGAATATATGAAATGTGTTTATAAGACAGGTAGTGCATGAGAAGCTATTTCTGCTTGCTAAGATATTATCTCAGCTTCAAGTTAAGAAGAATATACAACCCATAAACCAGGATTCTTATATTTTAATTGAAAGTGTTATGCTGCAGTTTTTTCAGATGGTTTACCCTTCAATATTTCTAACCGAAATTACAATAGAATTTAAAAATTTTCTTATTGGAAAAGTATCCAAGAAGCTAGTGACTATTGTAGAATAAAAATTGATTAAAGTAAATGTGAACTTGCAATTAATAAAGATTGCAGTGTTTTAGCAATTCCTACTTCAGACAGTTTGGATTCAAATAGTGATTTCAATTAAAGTGCATTCAAATTTGCATATTGTCTAGCTTAATCAAATTTAGAGAGAAGTTAATTATATAAATATTCAACTGGAACAACTTGTAGCGATGGAACATGTGCAGATATTTCATCCCCTACTAGTTTAGAGATTGTTCCATTTACGTAAATAATAAACATAATTAAAAAAGATTAGTTCTAGCGATTGTAATAATAATGATAGTAAAGTTGTGGATCCAGGATTGAAACCAACATAAAAAGTAACATTTTGCTAATTCTTTTAAAAAAAGCCTGATTAAACTAAAATTTGTACATTTTATTAATATAATTCAACTTCGCCAACTTAATGTGTTGATGGTGGTAATTGTGATTCCTATGGCAATTTGCCAAACAATAATGATAATGATGATTCAAATAGTTGTTTAAGTAGAATTAGTGATGTTTGGTGTAAAATTTGCATTCACATCTGGTGATGCTAAATGCAGAGATTTTTATTGCAAACATATAAAAAATCCGATCTCTTAAATGGATTGAGATTAATAAAAAGATGAAAAATATACTTTATCTCTTAGGAACATGTTAAAATAAGTTTACAGCCTGTACTGATATCCCTGCTTAAAGTGGATATGAGAAGGTAAATCAAACTGTTGCTTAATTTAGTTAAATTTAAGAACAACTTGTAATTTTCAAGAAAAATTTCATCTTTATAGTATAAACGATAAGTAAGTATCTATTTATGAGACATTGACAGATGAAACAAATAAACTTACATATATTTCTGTAATAATTGTTTCATATTGGATAAATGTGAAAGTTATAATGCAACATTCCCCCTGCATTAGATCCTGCAGAAGGTTCATAAGAGACAGAATGTAAAACAGTTAAATAATCCGATGGCTATGCATACATTATGGATGCTACAAAAAATGCAGAGCATAAGTTTGTACTGATGATGATGCAAGTGCAAAAGATTTTATTAATAATTTTCTCTATTATTCCAATAAATGCTTAACTAAGGGTAGTTGTGCAGATTATATGCAAAAAGGTTATGATGATGAAGTTAAATATATATATGGTATGAAGGAGTCTAGAATGATACAGGAGATTTTTGTGCTTGGAATTCATCTAATTTCAAATGTAGAGATAGATCATGTTAGTGTAAGGCATTCTACGAAGATTTTAATTGTTTAAGTTATCTTAATTCTTGTAGAATGAATGGAACTATATGTGTTTCATATGAAGAATGTACTTCAAACAATGGATCAATTGATTTTTGCAATGCCTTATCTGATTCAACAGGAAAAGATAGATGTAGACCTATTGTAACTGCTATTTATACATCAATTAGAACAAGTTATGATAAAGTTACAGCCACAACTTATTCTGAATGTGATACTTATTTAAGTGTAAGTGTCACTCGCGGTGCAGGATGTATTCGAAATTCAGAACCAAGCACATCATACAGAGGCACTAAACAATAATGTGAATTATTAAAAAAAACATACTGGATTTGATGATAAGAAAAATTCTACTTATGAATATTGTCCATGAGATGCTGGAAATATTGCCACAAGTAAATGTAAAGTAAGAACTTGTGCAGATTATATTATTGCTACTGCAGATGTTGAATATGTTATTTATATGAAAGAATGTATTAAAAATTGTATAGGATGTGTGGAAGCATCTTCATCATGAACTGCATTGAAGGGAGATTAAGAAACTTGTGCTTAATTCTTGGGCACTTCAGGTAGAGATTATTTTGGAATACTTCAACTGCATTGGTTACAGCCAATTATACTAAAAAGAAATGCAGCGATATCTCAGGAAAAAACAATAAAGAATGTATTGATGGCATGCCACCTTTTAAAACTACTGATAATCCTTTTTGTGTTTTTGATGGAACTTCATATATTATTTATAATGCATTCAATCGAACTGAAGAGATATGCCCTACTTCTTTAGGTAGAGATTGTTCATGTAAAGCTACAACTGTAAAGGATCATGTGCTAAGAGATTATGTACAGAAACACCAAATACTCTTACAACTGATGCTGATTGTTAGAAATATCATTAAGATTCTTACACAACTGGTAATGGATGCACAAGTACTAAATCAAGTTTCAATTTAACATCATAAGTTGCTTGTAAATTAATTAAATTTATAAATCAGATTTTGGAGAGAGGAAAATATTTAAATATTTGCCAAAAATGTATGATTCAATTATAAATCATAACTTTTATTAATTGTTTAAAATATTTTTGATGAAACCTTTAGTGGTAAGAAAAAATCAAATTAGTATTGAGAGGAAACATCAAATTTTTAAGCAACCAATATAAAACTAAAAATTTTTATTTACCTTCCCCTTCTATTATATTTAATTACTTTTACTTTCATCACATCAAAAATATGCTGCTTTAAAGTTGTATCTGGATATAATGAAACTTTATATGAATAGAAGAGCAAGAAAATTATATAAATGATCTTTGAAGAGAATTATCGATTTTTTCATACTAATTTGATAAGAAAAAATATGAGTGGAAATATTATTTGGTTACAAAAATAATCAATATAAATTGAGTATTTAATGACGAAACCACCTAAATATTTTACTCCTTAAAATTATTAATTATGCAATATTAAAATTATTAAAGTAATGCAAAAGAAAAATATCGAAATTTTTTGAAAATATTTGAAAACTTTTATGAATATATAAGAGTTTAATAAATAATAATAAAATGAAAATTAATGATTCTCAAATTTAATAATAAAGTCCAAAAATCTTTAAATCTACAATTGTCGAAATCTATCATTTATTTGTTTTAATAATAAATTGCCCATTTTTGGAAGTCAGAATTAGAATCTAAATTTAATTAAAAGAAGCCTGAAATTGTTATATAGGTCAATAGTTTAGCATCATATAATTGCATAACAACCAGCATATTTACGAAAAGTTTAGAAATTATAGATCATGCAAAAATAGTATCAATTAAGTCATCAATCTGTAATAATCACATATATGATACCTTAAAAAATATATATCTTTCAATTAAAAAATAAAATTATGGAGATGGACACTTTCAAAAAATAAAGAAAGACAAATTACAAGAAATTTTTCCAAAGCCTCTATTTAATAATTGTTTTTTATATGAAAACAAAATGATTACACCATTTCTCTACCTTTTGAATTACATCTCCAATTAAATCTACCAGAATTTTTCAGTATTCACATTTCATTCTGACAAATCTTATAGCAAGATTAAAGACAAAGTTAATATCGAATTCTCAAACAATTAATGATAGAAAGAATAACTAAGAAATTATCATTCAAGAATATACGAAAATAATTTTATAAGTTTCTTAAAAATTCAAGCCTCCAAATCTGATGAAATTGTATTTCAAAAAAAGCAAGAAAAAAAGTGATGTTTTGAAACACTCTTAGTACATTTTTGAAAAAAAAGAACAAAAGTATTTTACATAACATACTGATGGTTCAGCTTTGTGAATAGACTAAATATTTGATTTACTTCAGGTTCTTAATGGCATTTAGAATTTAAATTTTTGCTCATTATCTAATAATGAAGTATCGAATAAATTTTAATCTCCATGTTCCTAATGTGTATGTGCTTTATGATTGGGGAATGCTACAGTTGTTAAAAATTCTTCTCACAACTTCAACTTTTGGAAATTTTGTGAATTCATCAATTTTTTTTCAAATTTCGAAGGCATATATTTGAAATATAAATTAGATGTAACAAATGAAGTTCAAACTCAATTGTTTTAGTAACTTTTACTGTGTTCGAGGGGAGGATTATTAAACCAAGATCTTTAGCCTGAAAATTGACAAGCCCTAGCTTTTTAGTCTATCCTGATAAAATCAGAAAGCGTCAACTCTATCAATGATATAAATGTGTAAATTCAAATCAATATTAACTCAACTTAGAGAATGGGCTAATCTTCTACGCTAGAATGATATTCTAAACGATAAATATTAACTCAATACAACACTTTAAAAATGAAGTATGATTTTGTTAGCAGAATATTTGCAATAGACGTAAGAAGTACTTGATTTTAGAAAAATAAAAAAAATAGGAAAGTTGATATATTAACGAGTTGCAATTTATAATACTAAATTTTTAATCATTCCTTATAATAATTAAGTATTAATAAATATATGTTTATATATATTTTTTATACCGGTATGGATTTATTATTTAAATTTTATTAAGAAATATTAGCCTTAATGAATAAGAGAACATCTTCATTACGGGGAGGTGGTTGTGGAACTTTTAGAATGTTTCCGAGAACATAAGAAAACTTAAAGTCAGATATTTCAGATATAGAAAATTTCATTAACAAATTTAATCATTTTGTTGAAATAATTTTTACTAAAGCTGCTGTTGCTATCAATTCGATATAATCTTAAGAAATAATGATAGCCATATAATGGTTTGTTTTTTAAGAGGAAATTATCTACAAACTTAATAAGAATCCCTTAAATATCATAAAATCATACAACCTAATTGTAGAGGGAATCAAAAAATTATTGCAAAGCTGTTTGATCTATATTAGAACAGATTCGTTTAAATGTTTGTATATCTTATAGCTTACAACATATCTATACAAAGTCATATTTAGTTTTCATGTAATTAATAGTGAAACAATTTTGAAAGTTGATTTATAAAAGGAATTTCTGGATACTTCTGATGATTGAAATAATGAATGAAAATAGAGAAGAATGATTTGATTTAAATTTATATGGAAGTTTATCTTTTCTTAACTAAAACTTCTTTCGAATGGCTCTAAATAACAATCACTAAATGGATAATATTGTAAAAGGATTTGTAAGTGGTATATTTGATTAGTGATAAAATTTAAACTTAATGTTGAATTACTTGAATCCTTTATTGAGACAGCCTGCAAAACTCACAACATATATAAAATTAAAAAAATAGAAAATAATATGAAGTGTATTTTTAAATAGACATGTTATGATGGGAGATTATAAGTTTTTTTAGAAATTACAAATAAATAATTTTTTGGGGTATATGAAAATCTTGTGAAAAAATTACAATAATTGGAAAAATCATTTTTGTGGGTTTAAATGATGGTAATATTTAATACTCTTTTAACAAAATAAGGATTAAATGAGTTAACAAGCTCTAATAATTTTTGGGTTAATTCAAGGTAAATATGCAAGCAATATCAAAACAAAGGAATACTTATTTAAATGAACCATAAAAATGACTAAGCTTTCATTTTACTAAAAAATGTATAGGATTAAATGAGTGATGTTAGAAGTTTGAGTATGAAGGATGATCCTTCAAAAGAATAATAAAAAATGTAAAGAATTAGTACTAAGTATGATTATACTGTAGAAGATGTTTTAGTAACTTTTACTATGCTAGAGGGGAGGAATATTTAAACCCAATTCTTAGTTTGAATAATTTATAGCCTATAATAATAAAACCATAATGCTCCACCTCTATCAAAGACATAAATGTGTAAATTCAAATCAATACGACTCAACTTTTGAGAATGGGCTAATCTTTTATGCTAGAATGATATTCTAAGCTGCTGTTGCTATTAATTAGTTAGAATCTTAAGAAATAATGATAGACATACAAAGGAAATTTTTTTTAAGAAGAAAAGATCTACAAACTCAATAAGAATCCATAAGATATCATAAAATCATACAACCTAATTATATAGGGAATCAGAAAATTATTAAAAAGCTCTTTGATCGATATTAGAACAGATTCGTTTAAATGTTTGTA